TCAGAGGTGCAGTGTGGAATTCTACCATAAAATCGTCAAAGGCAGACGGAAGATGTTCAAAATAGTAGTCGAACAAAGCCTGTACATTGTCTACACTGGGAACTGCATTTGGGTCATAAATCCCCCCCCCCTGCTCTGAATAACTTCGACCTCACACCTGAAAGAAGTTTTGAAATGATTAACTTGCTTTGAACAGTCGTTACAAGTTTTGTTTCGGTGGTAAAAAGTTATATATTTTAAAGTAAGATTGGTCTACATACCTGGTCCTGATGCAGTATTGCTCGTCAGCAAGGAGGGTGACAGCCGATCTGGGCGACATCAGTTGCCGTCTTGCTGCCTCGACAGAACGTGCTGGACAAGCCTCTTCGGATAAAAGGCTAACGGTGGTAATTGGACATTGAGGGGCGCCGATCTTCCTGTCCTCTGCGTTGAGGCCCTGACAAGTGACTGGGTAATAACCATGGCAATGTGAAAACTCTTCTCCCCAGAGTCATTGATCTTCTCTCGCCAGGTTCAGCATTTCCAATATGTGTATGTTGTTCTTGGTTGTGAACGTCTGGAGTGTTTTTATGCCGAAAGCAGTATAAACATTCGCCATATATCGTGAGTTTTCCAACCGTTGGTGATATCCCGAGGAAAGCCTAAGATGACATTTGGGTCATTAGCGTGAAACTCTGTGGCTAGCTGAACGCCCATAACGCCTACGCTGTCCAAATTTAGTCCATAAATAATTCTAGCTCCAGTGCTCTATGGTGTTGCCTTGCCCCCCATTTCTCGAACTAAGAAGTAGATCTTGTCCTCTGAGTTGGCATTCTGAACTTGCAAGGAGGCCGATAGAGCATCAAAACTGGATTCAAAAAGTTTGATCTGAAATGGAAAGCATAAATTAAGACTTGTCTATTTATTAATCATAAGAGATTAACGTTTTCGCGATATTCGGTAAGTGATATGCTATTATTATTACCTGGCTCCGTGACTTCGCCGGGAGGCCCATTAGGATAGAGTAGTTGAAGGTAACAGTTGGATCATTGGTGTTGTTTTCTCGGATATGATTGATGGCAGTTATAATTCGTCCCAAAAACTGTTCATGTTGAAGTCTCAAGGTGTTAGTAATAAGACTCACAGTCCACATCCCCGTATAGCCGATGGTGAAAGTATACAGAGGTTTGAAGCCCATAACCTGGTCCATAGAAGGGTAGTTGCGAAAGAGATTGCCGAGTGGCGTAGCACGTCGATAAGATGTTAGTAAATTGACATTTCCAGTAAGAATGGATAACGGGCCTACAGCCCAAAAACCGTCAACGTCATTTGTTGCATTGAAACTGTCAGCGTTGTTTGTTGCATTAGCCATTGTCGCTTGTGTGATTGTTGCTATAAAACTGAAAGAGAAATTTTGCATTAATTCAACAGAATGCATGAAAAGAAGCATTCATCCCCCTTTGCTGGTTCATGCAAACCAGATATTCCAGCTGATTTCTTCGGGGTTCTGCTTCGCCTATAGCGACTGTCAAATGGGTGGTTCTACAGAAATAGTGGGAATCATTATTAGGAATATAACAATAATAATTGCCAACTTTTGTATTCCATCAAACTTGATCTATAGTGTAACCTAAAGGATTAATACAGCATAGATCCACAGTTTTAAAGTTAATTTAACTGGGCTTAGTTTTTTTTACATAAATGTTAACTCTCACCAGAACAAGTCCTTGAGTTCCATATTCCAGTACTGACATCTTTAAGTTAGCGAAAACTTGTCGGTATATCCACATTTCTGAGGTGTGTTGAAAAGAAAAAAGGTGTCATTGATTTTATAGCTGCATTTCTTAGATCCCAGTTCCACTCACCAATTACCAGATACAGATTTATATTTGCCATCACATTTTTAAGGAATGTTTCCACGTTTGAAATGTAATATTCAAAGGCATCCCAAAACTAAGTCATTTTCAGCAAACTTTATTTTGAAAGAAATGATTCTTCAAAATATTAGTTCTTGATTGTTAGTTCTCTTAAAATGTTTTGCATTTTGAAGTGATGTTAAAGATGATCCCTTGTAAATTTTCTTGGCAAATGAATGTCCTTTTGTTCTTTGTTTAAAAAAGTTGTTTAACATGATGTGGGTGACACTTTTGTGTGTCACCCTGTACTTTTTTTCCAAAACTGATCTGATCTGATTTTGTGATTATCATTGTGAAATTCCCCCTCACCAGATCCCAATTGTCTTTGACTCTAGACAATGATTTTTATTTCTTAACTATTGAAATTTAGAATCTTATATATGAAGTACAAAACAAACTTATTACCATGTTATCCAACTGACCATCTCAGTGTATGATTCACTCTTAATCTGGTCTTTATTATCTCACCAAGAGAAGTCCAGAGGGGAGGGAATCTACATGCAAAATTACATCTAGGAATGTGCTTACAAAAATTGTTAATAGGTAAAATTGGGTCCAAGTTTCTTCACATGAATTACATGGTTTTCTTCAGAACTGAAATTGGAATTCATCCGATTAGTTTCATGTTTTCTATGATCATGTAAAGAGGGGCATGGCCATAGAATTGCCTCCCAGGCAGTAACTGATGTCCCAATTTTCATAATATCTTACATGCTTTAAGTATATCTTGGATCAACTTATAGGTTTAGTTTTGCCAATTTTTGATAAAAGCAAATTATCAACAAACTCTCTAATTGAACACATTTGGGTTAGGTGCAATTAAGGGGAATCTCCTTCAATTGGCAAGCAACCATCAGACCCACCCATCCCATCCCATCTGCCAGCTCACCTACCAAACCACTTGGGAAACTGTTCATTATCTAGGGCATATAACCAAAGGGGTGATAAAATATGTGGAAAATGTGAGAAAAGATGTCCCTCAATTCGCCCATCGGTTTGTCAGGGCAATAAATCAAATACAGGTTACAGATTTGATTCAAATTTTATAGGCTTATGCCTTAAATGTATGTAGGTATGAACAGTACTGATAACCTCATTTCAACAGGCACCTTCTGCCCTTGGCCAACGATTTTATTATGTTGCTCGCTGAAATGATGCTGTTTGGCTTGTTTTCTTTTTTACTCACCAGATTCCTCCATTGGAATGCCATTGCCCCCTTCTCTGTCAGTAATACCTCAGCTCTTTACAACTGTTTCCAGCAGGTACGGCAATAATACTAACAGGCAGTACTCATCTCTCTGTGAAATTAATACAATGACAATGTGATTAACTAGTAACAAAAATACATCAAACATATGTTGTATTATATGTGCATTGAAATATTAAGTTTTCTTTGGAAGTTTTACTTTTAGGTTCAGTCAATTCTCCATTGAACCCATCTTATAAAATGAAAAATGAATTATCTAGTAACTGTTTTGAACAGATGATATTTCCTTTGACTTGATACGCATTTCCTTGTATAATTATTTTGCTCAAAAGGTTATATAAAAATTGATCAAGTATTAAATCTTCATTCTCAATACCTGCAATATTATTTAACCTGAAAAAGCCACCTGGTGGTGAACTAAGCATTTAACTATTGACACCCTATGGTACCTCATACACTCATACATTCAATACATATTGTGAATTATTAATTGGTGAAAATAATAGAATTGAACCACTGTACCTTTACGTCAGTTCGGACAGCCAGCTTTCTTAGCTTTACCATGGCATATTCAGTTTCATCTTCCGTGAACTGGTTGAGATTTAAATTTAAGAAATTTTAAATTAAAATAAATTATTTACTATATGAGTATGATTACGGCTTTCCAAGGTCCTCACCTTGATGCATCAATAAGGCCAAGACCTTTTAGCACTTTTTTTGAACTTTTTAGCATGTTTTGAGATAGATCATTGGCTTCTTTCTCCCTATTCCCTCTACTGTTTCAAATTTTCAATTCGGAAAACATTTCTTGACTGACTATCTGAGGTGACCAGCAAAAATAAGAGGGATGTTGTGTGCCATCATTAGTGATGTCATCTTTATTTCAGCAGTCCTGACCTGTGTTTCGTGTCTCACAATGGTCAGACATATATAATTTTCATTAACTGGTCCATTGAAAACGCTGCGAAGCCCAATATGCGATCCACTTTTGTGAAGAACCACTCAAGAGTGGGTAAAATGTCTGCATTGCAAATGAATGGGCTTTGAACCTTGACGTTGATTGCATTTGTGGGAGAAGAGATTGCAAATATGGTACAAAGTTCCTCTTTCTGCAGCACTTCTCTCCTTGTACAAGAAATTCATTGTGTCTTATTGAAAATAAGAACATGAAATTGTATGAATTCAAATGGTTGTGCTCATTTTCACTTGTAGCCAATAAGACATTCATAGCTTGATGTTTTATACACCCTTGCAATGTGTCATTTTCCTCCTAAATTAATATCAACAAAATTACTTTCAGATCTTATTAAAAGTGCAGCATCCTGGAGTGATTACATTATGGCAATAATGTGTTGATCTACTGAGTAGCTACATGTACACCCCCAATCCGCATCATCATCTTGCAGCGCTGTACAGCGCTGTATTAACAGTACAAAACAGTACAATTTGAGTACCGTGGTGTACAGCGCTGTAGCTCATACAGCGCTGTACTCAAACAGCGCTGTACAGTGCTGTTTTTAATTTTTATAGGCTAGGCCCCTTTAGGAATTTATGTTTTTGGTTTCAGGTTGATTCCCTGGTTTTTATTTACCGTATTCTCTGTAATTACCGCCCACTCTCTAATAAGCGCCCACCCCGCTTCACAAAGTTCAAGAAACATCGAGGAATCAACAAGAATTGAAGAATATATCAGGAAAAAATATTTCTCAAAATCCAGGAGCGGGCCATAATAGAGTACTTACCCTAAAACTGCTGTAAACACGACGCGTTTTGTAATTCTATGCATCCTCTCGATACATATCTATCGATGGGTGCTTCCCACACCATACCATGCTAATATTGTCTCCAAATAGTCCATAATGAATGAAGGAATTGTTCTTTATCGGCATTCAGAAATTTCAAAAGCTACTGCGCAGATGTTCTGCGCATGTCAAGGTCGTGAACTTTCTGGTTTCTTTTTAATGTTTCTCGACTTTTACACGACTTTTACACGACTTTTGCACGAATAATGATGATCTCTCATCAAATTAGAAATAATGTATAACTTTAGATCAATATCCAGCAGTCTCTAGTGGAAATATTGAAGGTAATCGGCGATAATGACAAAGTGGGCGTGCCGGAAATAAATTAGACATACAGTTGGGGACAAAAATAAATGACAGGTCGATTTTCGATCACCATTTCCTAATTATGGTGGTCTGAAAGCCCATAATTTCCAATATTGTCTAGATACATATCCCTTAAAATTTGTATATTTTACATTTTGTATAATCTCATCCACTGATTTATGGCCTCTTGCAAATTCTCTTATTTTTAACATGGGAAATCCTCACTTCAGCAAATCCACCTGTCATTTATTTATGTCCCCAACTGTAGACGGGTCTTCAACCACTGTCAATATTGTCTAAGCGATCTTTACCGTATTCTCTCCAATAACAGCACTTGTCATATTATTATAAAAATATGTTGAAGAAAATGCATTCTTGTCAAGAAAAATTGCCATACATGAAATTCCTCGGGATTTCTGATTTCTTTCATACATGGGCGCTTATTAGAATGGTCTAAATAATGTATTTTCAATTTTCTAAATGCCCTGGGAGCTAATTACAAAGAATACGGTAGTTGTATTCATTTCTATTATATATATATATTAATGGGTATCAAATTCAAAATGCTTTGATCCTAATATTGGTGTATTGTAGGCTATATAATTGCATTTACTACTTGGATTTTGTATTTAATGATTATTTTGTTGTCCCCATAAATATACAAAACACTCAATATTAAATACTAATACAAAACCTATATTTTATTTAGAAATATACAAAATATATCAGATACTATAGTGTTACGGAAGTCTGAGCCTATTGTTAAAAATTACAAATGTCCTTATGTCAAAAAGTTCTATTTTAATTTTATAATTCAGTCCTTGTAACAGTTGTGCTTGTATTCGCCGCTCTGGTTGCTTCCTGCTCCCATTTTCGGTTCAGCGTTTCTCTCTCCATTTGTGTGTATCTTAAAACAAGAGGAAATAATAAGTCCATTTGTAGAATAGAGCAACTGATAACACCCAAACAATTACTAGTTATTGAAGAAAATATTGAATTGGAAGCATTTTTATAATGGCATGGTATACGTAGAATAGGCCTATATATATATTTATTTTGTAAGATAAGATATAGGCCTAAGTAGTATTAAAGTGGACACAATATTTAAATTGTATACAGTAATAGTATAATGGTTGGATAATTAATAATATAATGGGTACACATTCGATTTGATTTGTGACTTTATTATTTTTATTATTTTTTACTATTATATATTCAGCATTTTGATACAGTTGCATCTCACATCCATCTTTGCGATACTTTAAACCTGCTATATTCCATATTTTCAACCCGCTCTTTTAAATTTTCAGTTTTCCCTTTAAACAATTTATCATGATTGTGTTGCATATACTTCCATTTCCCCAAAACAGATGCATATACTTGATACTGCCTGTGTGGGACACATCATATTCTAATTTATGTTATTGTATGTATATTACATCCTTATCCATCAACAAAACACTCAGAAGGAAGAGCAACATTTTTCTAACTTAAGCCTCTAAACGTTGACATCTATTCCTTTTTACATGAATATTCATTTAAAAGTCATTTTTCTGCAGTATGTTTGTATGCCTGTTCCTTGTTTTATGAGGATTAGTATTTATATTCTCAATAGAAGGCGCCCATTCTTTGTCTTATTCTTTAATGTCTGCTTATTGGCTGACAATCATATTTTTGTAAACTGCATACAATGTTTTCCTTTTCCACTAGGCTTAAGTAAGGTGTCTCACATTCAGTGCGTCGAAAGCACATTCTATTTTTGGATTAATTCAAATGTTGAGATAAAATCTGGATCACCTGTGTACTCCATGTACAGGGTGCCCCAGATGTCATAATAATTTCATTGAACCAGCATTCCTTTTGTTTATTGTACGATTTTTTTTGTCACAGAATGAATTTACTTGTTATTCTTAGTATGTAATTAGCTGTGCAAAAAATCTGCAGTAGGGATGGAAACTTACATGTAATTTGCTGGTTCATGCAAACCAGATATTCCAGCTGTATTTCCAGTTTCCAAAATACACTTGGCCCAACACTAAGAAGCAGTATCTCAATGGTTCACAGTTTGCTTCGAAACTTGCAACAATAAGCATGCACTCCATAAAAGCAGCTTATACTGATTAGAGGTTTTACTATTTTGAATATGATAGGGCAATGCCACGTGAATGAGTTTAGAGGTTGCATACATATGAAACCCCCTATAGATCTATCTTGCAATGTACTTTCCAGAGTTGCAAATCCATGGTAGTATGGTCGTAATTTTAGGACTTTTTTTCAACTTACGACCAATAAATTGATAATACTTGCCATTTGTACGAGTATGACGTGGTCCTAAAATTTGTAGTATTAATTCCTGATATTGAACCGAATTTCAATATCGAGATATTATAAAATGCATCGAACAGGTATAAATAGCGAGAAACACCTCGGAATTCTTTCTGATGTTTTCACTTACCTCGCGCCTCGATTACACTTCTTCGCAATCAGGAGTGTTGATTGGGGACAGTTATAAATTTTTCAACCTAGGTCCTTACTAGGTTCATATAGTAGATAGTTGAAATCTAGTTACAAGTAGGAGAAAAAGTGCAGAGAAGAATAAATAACTAGACCTGGGAAATTGAACAAGTTCAATTTCAGACTCCAGATTCTTCTGGGGTTTTTAAAAAGACAGATGGACAGACGGATGGAAGGACGGACTGGCTGGACTTGGACTGGACCTTGACTGGATTTGAACCTTGACTGGATTGAACCTGGGCTGGTCTTGGACTGGACTTAGACTATACTTGGACCTGTACTGGCCTTGGAACTGGACTGGAATTGACCTGAACCTGGACTTTGACTGGACTGGAACCTGATTTGGACTAAGACCTGGACTTGGACCTGTAAATGGACTGGACAGGTATTTTTTCGATTTTTTTCTTCACTTCTCTTGACTTTCTATAAGGCTATCATCAGATCGATTTTTCTCGAAATTTCAAAATGCCATAACTTTTGAACAGGAAGTCTGATCGAAATTTGATTTGCAGATTCGGATTCCTGAGAAAATTCTATCTTTAATTCATAACTCATACGTTAAATTTGGAGAACTCTTTATTTTGACCTACTTTTCGGACACACCATAACTTCCGAACCGGAAGTCGGATTGACATTTGGTTTGCAGATTCAGATTCCTGACAGAATTCTACCCTTAATTCATAACTCATATGTTCAATTTGGAAAACTTTTTATTTTGACCTACTTTTCGGACACCATATCGCCAAAATACTTTCTGACGGCAAAGGCTAACACTATTAGCCCACTCTTGGCTACATATATACACAATTTCGAAGAATATAATTAAAGTGTAGTGTCAGGATCGCAAAAATAAGGATAAACTATGAATTTGACCTAGATTTTGACTTAGGGATTTTGGTGTCCAAATTTTGAAGTTAAGTAGCCTTCAAGGTCCCCTTCTTTCATAGGCTTTCATTATTTTAAGCTGTACTTAGTCTAAATCTCGTATTTTACACTTCAAAAAAATCTTTTTTCCCATTGCCATAATATGGGGCACCAAATTTAGCGATTTTTGAGCTTTCAAAATGTCATAACTTCCAAACCTGAAGTCGGATCGAAATTTGGTTTGCAGATTCCTGGGGAAATTCTATACTTAATTCATAACTCAAACGTTAAATTTGGAGAATTTCTTATTTTGACCTACTTTTCGGACACCATATCTCAAAAGTGGGGCAAAATACTTTCTGACGGCAAAGGGCTATCACTATTAGCACACTCTTGGCTACATGTACACAAAATTTAGAAGAATATAATTAATCTGTAGTGTCAGAATCGCAAAAATAAGGAAAAACTTTGAATTTGACCTAGATTTTGACCTAGGCATTTTGGTGTCGAAATTTTGAAGCTAGATGGCTTTTTAGGTCCCATTCTTTTAAAGGCTTTCATTACATTTAGCAGAACTCGGTCTATATTTCGTATTTTTCACTTCCAAAAAATATTTTTTCCCATTGACTTAACATGGGCACCAAATTTAGCGATTTTTGAGCTTTCAAAACGCCATAACTTTCGAACCGGAAGTCCGATTTGAATTTGGTTTTCAGATTCGGAATCCTGAGAAAATTTCCTATAAGACTAATATCATGGACATTTGATTCGGAGAACTTTTTTTTGGACCTCGTTTTCGGACACTGATATCTCGAAATCGGTTTGAGATATCAAAAATCTAAATCGTATTACGTTTTTCTACTTTTTTATGAGGAACACAATGAAAAAAACCCGGATCAAAAATATTGAAGGACGACCGAGATAATGGGAAAAAGTGACAAAGTACTGGATTTGACCTAGTTCTTGACCTTTGACCTAGTTCTTGACCTTTGACCTAGATAAAAATTTGACCCCATTTCCCACCAACTAGATACTAGACCTTATTTGACCATATAATAGTCTTGAAAAGATACCTTATAGTTATTGAGAAAACGTGCACAGTAAAATAAGAATAAGAATAAACAAAAGAGGCAAAAACAATAGACTCCAGATTTCATCTGGAGTCTAATAATAACTAGATTTAAGACTCCAGATTTCAACCTTTTTTTAAGCTGAGTCATCCAGAACTAGATAGATCAGTAAAGAGCTTAGTAAGTAACTGAGTAATTAGCTGAGTAAGTACCTTAGTAGTAGTTTAGTAAGTAGCTCAGTAAGTAACTGAGTAAAAAGGTGAGTAGGTAGCTTAGTAAGTACCTGAGTTAGTAGCTGAGTAAGTAGCTAAGTAAGTAATAACTAAGTAGCAAAATAATTTGAGACATATAACACATATACCTATACAAAAGAAGACCAATAGGCTAATTATCAGAGATCACTAAATTTGAATAAAGGTAAAAGCTAACTTAACAAGAACACTATCAGTACTTTTAAAGCCTATGAAAGAAATTGTCATTTTAGAAATTTTAACTCTCAGTGTAATTTTCACAAAATTGTAAAAGTTGGCAAAATAGACAGAAATATGCACACATATACAAGATGTATTTACAAACATGGTTCTATAAAAACTTGTCGATAAATATTACTAAACAAAAATTTCATAAAGGCCTTAATCAAGCTTTAATGTCCTGTTTAAGAACCCATATTCTAACTGAATGGATTCTAGTGATACTTTCCAACAGGAATCTACTTGTTGATATTTGATCAACCTGAGTTCTTCTGAGTCAATGCACACTTGCTGAAACCCTAATTTTCTCAGAATAATTCATGTTGATTGAGTCTCAACAAGTAGATTCATGTGGTATAGTATTACAAGAGTCCATTTTCGAAAGTAAGAATAGGGGTTCTTAAACAGGACATTGGGTTTGGTAAGACACAGTAATATTTGAATACAAGTTAGAACACAAGTTATAGCCTAGTCTACCATTTTATGAAACTCATTGTCTTTGTTGTCAATCCGATGAAATTGCCCACTCTGGGGCATTTTCTTGGGGAGTTCTAGAAGATCTAACAGCATCATTACGTGTTGGTATGCAAAAGGTTTTCTTTGCTGCTTTAGATAGCGTTTTCAGATATGCAGTATCAAATTCATTTTTATATTTTCTCAACCTCTGGCTTTCCCAGGTTAGTTTTCTTGCAGTCTTTAGCCTTGCCTTTCCATTTTGTTCTCCTTCTACGTCACTTTCATCACTAGATATGAACTCGTCCAACAATATACTCTTTACCCTCTCTTTCTTGGCTTCACTCCAACCTGTCATTAATGGAAGGACCTTTGACCGACTTTTGGTTTTCTGAAATGATTATTATGGGAACTGTTTATGTTTCAAAGTTGGATTATTTATATAGAAGATTTCCAAAACAGATTTCTTGATATTAATATGATATATCAAAAACTGGTCAAGATAAGGTGAAGTGATTATATTGAAAGGAATAATATCAATTGCCACACTGACATAGTTAATGGAGATGGCCATATTGCATCATGGTCACTGGAAGTGTAACGTCATGTTGACATTGGTCGTCATATTGGAACCCAAGAAAGATGGTAAAATATGCCCTACAGTATATTCTGACAAACTCAATAATTGACTAACTTGCTTCATTTAAACATATTCATTCCAGACAAAATTCAAATAGTTCTTATAGTGTAATTCCACTTTAATAAGCTGATAATTACAAAATATTGTCACAGTTTGACTCCCGATCTTGAAGAGATTGTTCCTCAGAATGAGGGAACCAAAAGCCTGAGGTTGTGGTCATCTGGCAATCTGGCATCTGTCACCTGGCAACTTCCCCCATGAGGTGCCAGTTTGTGGCCATGATAGCTGAATTAAACTCAATGGCCAAGCTTTCATCATATAAAACCTGGTGGCTGGGCACCCATGACCTAGAAAGAGGGCACCAATGACAACGGTCTCCACTGCAGGGTTGAAGGCCATGATATCGGCAGATAGGGTAATAAAAAGAACACCTAAAGAGGTTGTAGTTGCTGGCTAATTGAGGCATTGAAACCTTTTTTAAAGTGTCCGAGTATGTACATCACTTAATGCCTCTTATAATTGAGGTGTGTTACTCAATAATTCAACATGTTTAACGCAATGTAGATACTGCTTCGTTTATTATTTGGATTCCTTAAACGTTGTGAACAGCTGATCAACTGTGTTTGAGACGAATGTCTCTGATGATCACAATATCATTCTTCCCTAGGTTTTCACCTTGTCGTTTGCTTGTGGATAAGAAGTTGTTAAAATGTTCTCTAATGGCAGCTTCTTCTTAATTCATATTGGACTTCCATGATCTACAAATATGTATGAAAAGAGTGATGATTCTATGACTCTGCATAATTTTTTTTAATATAACTGAATGGTGTTTCTTCATCTTGATTTGGGCGCATCAAATGATTAAGCATTGATCCTAATACAGGCATTGAAAAAGTTCTTGATAAGCAAAATCTCCTAATACTGAGTGGATTTTTTTTTATTTGAGTAAGTATTGTATGTAATTTTGCAGTACTGTTGCCTGTGAAGCTGTCAAATGGACATGAAATATGGATATGAAAAATTCGTTTATTATTTGGATTCCTTAGTAGCCTTCTATGCAGGGCCATAAGACATGTCATACTTTTACACTAACTGTTATGCCTAGTGATGTCCCCGGTGTTGTTAATACTCAGCCGATTTTTCAGTCCTCAAACGTTGTGAACAGCTGATCAACTGTGTTTGAGAGGAATGTCTCTGATGATCACAATATCATTCTTCCCTAGGTTTTCACCTTGTCGTTTGCTTGTGGATAAGAAGTTGTTAAAATGTTCTCTAATGGCAGCTTCTTCTTAATTAATATTGGACTTCCATTATCTACAAATATGTACGAAAAGAGTGATGATTCTATGACTCCATAATTTTTTTTATTATAACTGAATGGTGGTTCTCTATCTTGATTTGGGCGCATCAAATGATTTAGCATTGATCCTAATACAGGCATTGAAAAAGTTCTTGATAAGCAAAATCTCCTTACACTTGGATTTTTTATTTGAGTAAGTACTGTATGTAATTTTGCAGTACTGTTGCCTGTGAAGCTGTCAAATGGACATGAAATATGGATATGAACATTTTGACTGTTTCTACAGTGAGTAAAAACGTTTTCCCGGGAATATTGGTGCGGGAGATATACAGCGAGAGATATATATATGTCCCGCTCTTCCAAGATATCGATTCTATATCCCGCTGTTATGTACCTGAAACCTTACATGTCATAGGATAAATATGTTTATTTTAATACTTGAGACCATATTCAACATAAAGGTCATAGATGTGCTCATTGGAACTGTGCACTCATTAGTAGAGGTGTCATGGTTTCCCTATATTGGACACAGAACAGAAAGGGTTACTACTGATAGATGGTAATGCGTGTTCGTAAATTTCTTCATTGTCGTTCGCAAATCGAGTGCATTATCAGTATCCCGGATGTAGGAAAGAAATTGAAAATTAGAGAAGTCCAAAAAGTCAGCAGTTTGGACGTATTTTGGAACTCTGATTGCCCAAGGTAAGCATATTGGTGATAGTAGAGCATGCAGACCAAGTGAAATGCCAATCAAATTCATGGCAGGTGCATTTTATTAGATTTTAATTGACATTTTTATTTCTGAATATGATTTTGAAAAGTGAAACTTAATGTCATCATCATACCCTCGCATAATCTTTTTAAATGTTCTGTCCCATCCTGAAAGTACCATTTCCCGAAACCATTTGTACCGCTCCGTCCCGTCCCGAAATTTTTTTGGACCATGACACTTCTACTCATTAGACAGAATATGGTATCACTATCAAACTTTTTTTGTTCAGGTAAATATACAAATAATTACTTACCAATGTTTTGCTCCGTATACTTATTCCTTTGTCAGAACAGATTGCATTCTTAACACTAAGGAATGAATCCACTTTGAATTTGTCATGATGGGCAAATACTGTGAAGTCTATTCTGTTACTGTCTTGTTACTGTATTTTCATAATTGGTACCTGCCCCTACTTGCTACCTATTTGTATCGGGAGGGTGTATGCATATTGGTTGATTGTGTCTGTGTGTTTTTTTTCTTTATCCTTTATTGTGAGGTATTTTTTGTGTTGATAGTGTGTGTTTTGAGGGAGTTATGAACTTGTTTGAGCATAACCGTTTTTTGGGGTTTAATCTGAGTTTTGCGGTGTTTTGGTTTGTGGATGTGGTGTTGGTTTGGTGGCCTATGTAGTACGCATTTGGTGGGTTACTCCTGGGGGTCAGGCTGAAAAACATGAATACATGTGAAATGTATGTTTCTGGGAAAAATCCCCAACCATTTTTAAAGCAGTAGCCATCTTTAATTTTTTTTGTTGCGTAAAAGTATTCACCAATAAACATATTTTCACTATCTAAATAAATTCCCTTCAATTTCAGTATAATATTGGCTAACTTTGAAGAAATCAGGAAATTATTGCCAAATTCCACATAGGCAGCCATTTTGAATTTTCTGAAACTCAAATCGAAAAAATGATACAAATATTTGCAATCTACTCTTAAGTGATATAACTATAGAACAAGACGCAGGGTGAACAGAATCACACCCTTTAATAGAATACAGTTTTTGGGATGGAACATCCAAAATGGCCAGTGGCCACCCTAACATTTACCCAGACCGCCTAAAAACTAATCAGTTCTAAACTTTCATCCATAGAAACATCTCTAAAATTTTTAAATGAATCCACAAAATAAACTGTTTACCCTTGACATTCACATGTGGCTCAAGGGTAAGAAAGTTGTTCATACTCACTAAAAATATTCTGATACGACTTACCCACACCTCTGCTTGATGTTGCACTCATCACTGCTTACTGATTCTGTAACAAAGGACAACACTTGTTATAAAGAAGAAAAAAAAGTCCCTTGGGTACATTATAAATTCGGTTCTTGAACAAATTCAAGCAAATCGATGATTGACAGGTTATGACCAAAACCTTATTTCTGCTATAAAAGTGAACAGACAGATGGACAGACAAATTGGCGATAACAATAGCTCATCCATGTGTGCTAATAAAAGTTTGAGAGAAGTAAACAGCATTGTAATTCAATTGTAAATGATCAGAATAAACTGTCAATTTATAATAAAGATTGTAGGACACAACTTTTATTATTTAAAAGTGCATGTACATGTACACGATACTGGTAGCTCCTAAATGTGCTATAGATTAACATCCATATTGTTGAAAAAGCCTTAGTTTTAACAATGAGCACAGGTTTATGGTTCAGATATTTTGATTGAATTTGACTGTTCATCATCTTGATCAAGTATAGAGACTATAAAATCGAAATCATTAAGCTGTGCTCAGCATGAATTTGACTGAAATATATACAGCTCCCCAACACAATTGAAGTGTCAAAACTGGATGCTTAGTCGCCTAACTTCGCTCAACTATAATCCGTTGATTACCAAGATAAAAATAAATTCAGTTATCAAGAAGTACCATTCAATGTCACACAATACAATTTTCGATATTTTCTAAGTCGATATCTCGACTCATTCCCTGACTAATATCCTTTTTAAAGACTCCATTAAGGTTTTATGTCCTGTTGCAGAACCACTGTTTTCAATACTCTGAAACAGTAATGAGTCCTTGATTTATCTTTACAAATTTAGCCAAATCCCTTAGAGTTTTATGAATTTATATGGGAGTTAGACAGGGGTCCTTTTAATGAGCAAAACTCTTCATAACTAAATGTATGTGTTATTAAAAAAGGTTTCCTGTAGTTGTTACGATTCTAATCTGATAAACAATTTTCAAAAAACAACTATTTGCATTCTTGAGATATTAAGTGATCACACACTCCCAAATATAGACCAATAATCAATTCTTCAAGTTATTGTGACAATACAGTAGAACCTGTATATCTGAACGCCTGGCTAATCCAAACACCTTCCAATTTGAACACTTTTTTTCGGTCCCATTTTTACCTTCCATAGACTCCCATGTTAAAAAAACCTTAAAATCTGAATACCTCCTAATCTGAACAGTGAACAACCAGAGTTGAAAAAGTGACCAATTGTCAACATAATCGATCCATTGCTGTCTAGCTTGTTTATTTCCTTTGTTGAACACATAGTGAAGGTTGTTTGGGATATTTTTTGTGTTAACAGCATCTGTCAAAGAGCCTGCATCTTGCAACAGTTTGTTGGCAATGTAGACAATGCTGAAATTAAAAAGAATATTTTATATCTACTGCCAATTCTTTATTTAACAAACCTATTATCCCGGTAGGAGATCAAAAACATGTAATAAAGGACCCATGCGCCTGTGTTCGCACAGTTAATTGTTAAAACATGTTTGGAAAGGATAAATTTTGTTTTGTATGGAAAAACTTGCTTTTTGTCCAAATAACATGAATATCTAAGCACAAATGCCAAATAAAAGGGACCATAATCTGTAAAGCTAAATCTACTGTCCAACATGTTTTGTTAAAGAGCAACAATCGAAATAAATTAATATCGGATGATGGGGGGATCGGATAGAGGGGGATAACGTGTATACAAGACATGCTACTTGAATTTATTCTTTATTTTCCCATTTTTCATTCTCCAGAGATATAATATCCAGTTTCTTACTGGGGTACAGAGTTTTTTTTTTAAATACACAAGTTCTTGTGAATTTGCTCCATCATAAAGATATATAAATCCCCCTCCATCCGATATTAATTTATTTCTATTATTTTTGGAAACATTACTAGCATGGAAACTAACTTTAAAAGTGAGCAATGTCATTAGTATTGTGATAATAATGTCCCTTATACCTATTTATTACAGGTCGTGTGGACCATTGTTGCCCGATTTATGGCAAAAACAATGCATTGAATGTAACGAAATATGGTGGTATTCCCAAAGAAGAGATTTTTGAAATGCATTGAAAAACTAATACAGTAATATTGTTACACATTTGTTACCTTTGGAGTAATTAACTTTAAAGAAATTTTGAGGATCCTTAATTATGTCATTTAAACAATTTTGTCCATTATTGTAAGGAGGTTGAGCCACATTAATCATTATTGTCTTAGGAAATAACTACTTACATGGTGCCATCTTGAAGTCATTTTCTTCTTGTTCTTAACAGCAGTTTTTTGTGTTTCATCTCTATTCTGCTGTAGATAGATGGTTCTTGCAGCTTGGAATCTTCTCTTCACTGCATCTGAGCAAGAAACATCTACTAGTATTTAACAGTATGTCAAGATAAGAAAATATATACTATGGAGAAATTTTACTTAAGATTATGAAAGAAGCTAATAATGAACTCCTATACAGATTAGTACTAGTAAGCAGAGGCGTAGCCAGACCATTTTTCCAGTGAACGCCCATCATATTTTCCGGGTAATTCCCCAGGTGATCAGATGATTTGGGGACGATTCAGATTGTGTTTGCATTTAACCTAGCTTGCAAGGGATGATTTTTATTTTTCACATACAAATGATCTGGGAAATGTTATTTTCTTTAAAAATTGAGAGTACGCCCGTGACTACTTGGCGTTAATGTAGCTACGCCACTGCTAGTAAGCATATTTTTGAAAATTCTCGATGTAGCAAATATCAATTTAATTATTACGCAAACCTTTCAAAAAATAAATCTATTACACATTATGTTGTATGAAATGCTATTATAAATTATATGGAGCATGTAATTGCAGTGCATAAACAACTTCATAATAAATATTTTCAGATTTACTCACGTTGAATGTCTTCATAGGATAACTTAGCCCTATGCCCTTCCAACTCCTTCTCCATGCGGACTCTCACACTGGCATTTATTGGATCGTTGAACCTAAAATTATGTAAAATTAAATCAAATCATATTGCTCATCACACACATCACACACATGTATCCATGAAACATTTCTAAAAATCAACCTGTGGACAAACCTCACAAGACAAGATTTCAGGACAAACAATCCCAAATGGCCACCTTAAAGGTGCAATGCTTGGTGCAGAGGGGGCATTCAACGATCATGGACCAGTGTCAAAATATATTTAAGTTTTGATATCAGTCTATAAGCTTCTCACCTAGACAAAAGGGCATCTTGCTGTGCTGACAGATAGAGCAGCTAGGGATTATTTGAAAGAAAATATTATTTTAAGTGTTTTAACAATCTTTATGTTTAATGTGCAGCGCGACTAATATGACAATCAAAGGACAGGACAAGAACATGTATTTTATATGTTATTCCAGCTCGAACAATATCCCTATTATAAAACAAACAAAAAAACAGATCCACCAGTGGATCTGCCAGTGACCCCCAAAACCTGGCCTGTAGATCTATTTTTCAAAATGGCAGTTGCTATTTTAATACTTCAGTAGGACATACAAAAATTATTTCAATGGACATGATTGGTTACTTGTCTAACTTTATTTTGAAACAAATGATTCTTCAAAATGTTAGTTCTTGGTTGCAAAGTCCTGTAATATACTTGCAACACTTCCTTCAAGCCTGGCACTAGATCTTAATGTGTCTCGAGCCTGTATGTTGCTTGAATGACATCAGTTGTTCAAAGTATATTGCTTCCCATGATTGGAGAATAAAAAAGTGAGTTCTCTTAAAATGTTTTGTATTTTGAAGCAATGTTAAAGATGATCCCTTTTGGGCAAATGAATGTACTTTTGTTCTTTGCTGTTTGAAAAAGTTATTTAACATGATGTGGGTGGCACTTTCTTGTGTCACCTTGTACCTTTGTCTTCCACAACTGGTCTTGCTTTGATTACGAGTGTCATTGTGAAATTCCCCCTCACCAGATCCTGATTGTCTTTAACTATTGACAATGATTTCTTTTTCTAAACTATTGACATCTAGAATATCATGTTTGAAGTACGAAAAACTTACACTATATGACATAAAGAATATTGCTTGCAAATAACGAGCAATTCTAGTGTTTATTTGCTTCGAATTGTATGTTATAACCAGTAATCATCACTGACAGAACGCAGACAATAACTGCATATATGGAACACAAATATATGCAGCTGCATATAACAGAATACTGACTGCATATACGGGTACTGTCACTGAGTATATTTGCTTATATTTAGACATACTTTGCATATTTGCTGTTTACTTGTGATTATATGCAGTGCAGAGACTGCATGTATCTGCTTATTTGGGACAGACAAATATAAGCAGCTGCATATAACAAACATCCACGGAGAATACTGACTGCATATTTGGGTAATGTCACCGAGTATATTTGCTTATATTCAGACATACTTTGCATATTTGCTGTTTACTTGTGATTATATGCAGCGCAGAAACTGCATATACCTGCTTATTTGGGACAGACAAATATAAGCAGCTGCATATAACAAACATCCATGGAGAATACTGACTGCATATACGGGTACCGTCACTGAGTATATTTGCTTATATTCAGACATACTTTGCATATTTGCTGTTTACTTGTGATTATATGCAGCGCAGAAACTGCATATACCTGCTTATTTGGGACAGACAAATATAAGCAGCTGCATATAACAAACATCCAGGGAGAATACTGACTGCATATACGGGTACTATCACTGAGTATATTTGCTTATATTCAGACATACTTTGCATATTTGCATATCTCTTGTTGGTAAAAATGTGAAGATTTTTACTAAAATTTCTGTGGGCATCAGCTCTAACATTCTGAAAAAAATAATTAACACCATATTTAAACCATGCTTTATTAATGAGTTGGTTTTGATATAAAGAGAAAATTACCTCTAGGCATCAATTAAAATCTAGATGGACCTGTTATGCAATAAGGTTCTATCTCCAACCAGCCTAAGATACTGAGGTCCCATCTGATTGTCTGCTTTGTCCACATGCCAAACCTTGGCCATATATACAGAGGTCCCATCTAAATCGGAAAATACTTCAACAGCAGATCTCTAAAATGCTTTGTTTTCACTGAATCTTTGGTTATTATTTCAAACAATTCTGCCACAATATGAAGATCATCACAACAAAGCAAAATGGTGCCATCAGCACTCTTTTGGAACATTTTCAGCCTTCTTTACCAACTCCTCTCACGCCTTTTTTCTGTGAAAATCACAGATGTAGATGTTGGTATCTAAAAGAAAAACCCGTATGTATACAAAGGTAATATTTTGAGAGGGAAGCTTCTATCTACAAATCAACATGAATGAATGAGTATTAACACATACATATTCTAATTATTAAGCATTTCAATATTTCAGGATTTCATTTGGCATCAATACTCAATCAGTGGACATTCTGTTACATGTTATTACTCTTGTATGACACATTCTTTACGTACAGTTTGTATTTCTTTATTGGAAAATATATCAACAGCAGATCTCTAAAGTGAAATATCAAGTTTCATAGTATTTTTTCTTTTCCTAGACATTTCCCTATATACTCGGGGTGGAAGGTGTGAGAATTGCGCAAAAAATGACTTTGTGAGCTGGATGGAGTTTCTCTGTATTTTTCACTCTATTAGGGTTTCCTGCATAAGGGATTTTGCCTGCGAAGCATATAACTCTTGCGAACATATCCAAATATTGGTCTGAAGAAGACATACCTTGAATTTTTTAGAAAAAATTGGCTTAAAATGAAAACTACAAAAAGTCAAAATGTTCATCTCAAACAAAACTCTAGCTATTTAATATTAACACTATGTATTAGTTAATGTTTTTCAGATGTTTAAGGACCTTCATTAGTGTACTAGTGTCTAGAAATAAGATAATTAAGGACAAAATTTGGCATTTTTGATCATTTTCGCTTTCAGCAGTAACATATAGTTCCTTATATCTTGAGTTTAATGTTGACTGGTTGTTGCAATTTTAATCAAATCTGTTCTTGTACATGTCTTCTTCCATTTAAGATACAAAAAATGTATATTGGACCACCAATGTTCATATTAGAGCTTTCAGATCTCCCCTGCCCCATTTATAATTTTAAAAAATGAAAAAGTAATTTCAAATCATAAACTTACAAAATTGTAGCTATTCTCTATCAATACTATGTATTATTTAATGTAACCTTCATTTGATTACATGTGTTTAAAATTTGGCATTTTTAGCATTCTGCATTTAGCAATAGCATATAATTTTCCACAATTATAATTCTTTGATGATAGATTCATATATGTTTTTTATTGAATCTGTCTTCTTTGATTTAAGTTAAAGAAAATGTATGTAAGACAGCGAATGTTTTTATTAGAGGTCTAAGATCTGCCCTCCAACATTTAATAAGAAAACCAACACAAATGTTGTTATTGCAAGTTAATATTCTTCTTTTCAAAAGTTTAGCACATTTATTGGCACACTAAAATCAAAAAATGATACATAAATGGGCAAAATGACCTATTTTTCACTTTCAGCACTAGTTGTTTATATTTTTAGTTGAATGGTGATTAGTTGACATATTTTAGATCATACATGTATATATTCAATTATGTGTCTTGTTATCTTCAAAGCATGGAAAATGTGATTTAAACACAAATATACATATTAGAGATAAAATTACTACACTACCATATTTTTAAAAGATTACTCAAAAATAGAATAGTGCGAAATAATTTTGTAATTTCACAGTTTACTCTCATATGAATCAAAGGACATGTCTTTATATAAACATGATTGTTCACAACTCTCAAACTAAATCCAGCAACAGCCTGATTTTTCAAATCTCCCTGGATCTATGTTAGAGCTGCATTTAAGTCATTTTAAAGGTCTAAGATGTTCATGACACCACAAGCTATATATTCAGATATGTGAGATCTCTAAATAATTTTTATAGTTCTGAGAAACTCATCCTAAAATATTGTCCAACGATCTGCACTATGTTGTTTATTGCCACATGGACAAGTAGCAACACACCCTTGACTAGAAACTTTGTATTTGCAATTCGCTGCCTTTTGTCATTTTACATTTCCGAATTGCCAAGGACATATGTTTCTTGTGTTGCTACGAAGGATTGTTTGTGAGTACTGGTACAAGACACCCATCTTTGATATATCTTCAAATAGGTATTGCACTTTGAGATTCATGTAGTAATTTAGAATGCTACCTTGAAGGACATAAGAAACTTTAAAAGCTCTGTTTAACTCTCATCCTTCTTTGCAAGAAGCATTCTGTATCATCAGACTGAATACAAGTTCTCTCAACATTGAACTCCTTTGTCTTGTCTGCAGCACTGTAATAGACATGGACCATAAGGAGAGTGTCAACTTCTTCATGATCAGTATTTGATAGATTGTCTATAAGTTGCAACTATCAGTTTTGCAAAGTTCAATAGCAGCTCAGCCATAAGTGAAATTCATCCCATTTTAGAGATACAGTAACATTGCTTCACAAACCAAAGACAGCTTACCATTTTGTAATTCTTTCCAAAATCATCTTGTTGGCTGTTCTACATTTCACAATATTTGCATTTACCAAAATATCCCCAAGCCTAATATCCATCATGAGCTTCTCACCCTTAGGTGTAATATGGAAATCAAGCCTTTGACAACATTGCAATTGATAATGAGGGAATTCAACCAATATGGCTTGATCACTGGTTATAATTATCACAGTACTATACCCCATTACTTTTAAATATATTCCAAGTGTTGTACTATACATTGCATAGATTCATGAGCAGTTTTGCAACGTATTATTGCCAGAAAGCCCAATGGACAAAGATAGAGAATACCCGCCCCATTTGCAACTCAACTTTAAATATCTAATTTTTAGACTTGTATACTCAGGAAGTTCCTGACACATCTGAAAAATATCAAATAATACGAGGGGTGATCAATAAGTAATGGACGCTTTTTTACACAGATGCTTTTTATAGACCAATCCCTTCGATTTTCTTACTAGTGATACATCATTCAATTATCTATCAACTCTGAAGATTTGAAGACAAAATATATAATACGTATTAATATATCCTTATTTCCGTGAAGGAGGTACAGGTACCCCGGGACCGACATTTACGTCACATATTCAGTTTTTAGCCAGTTTGGTAAATTTCAGTTAGATTAGAGTTTTAAAGATTAGTGTAAACGACTACATGAACACACAAACATGTGCAACATTAATGACAAAAAAGTCATCCTAATCATGAAGAAAATGTAGTCAATGTGAACTTTTGAGAATGCAATACCAGGCCGTTTGCTAATTGTGGTTATCTTTGGGGGGGGGGGGGTGCAAATATTAAAATTGGATGATCCAGCAATGAGACTGACAAGATAATCAAACAAGAAAATGACTTAAATCATAATTTACAATAAGCAAAATTGATAAAGTTGTTTAAATTCAACAATTTTACACGTTCATCACATGGCATCGATTATTGCATTTACACTTTTGTTCGACCACTCGATTTCAATGATTGAATGAGACATGTTTATTGTCACTATATTAAACTTTAATGAATGATGTTTGATCTACAGGGCGTTCAATAAGTTTTGCTAATTTTGCTATTACTTTTGTGCTGTTTGCTTTTTCTTCATGTTTCTTTCACAACATAAGGTACATATATCTGACTTTATTCACTGAAAGTTTCAAGACAATCAAATCAGTATTAACAAAGTTATGGTTACTAAGGTAACTAGTATCATGGATATACGGGGCAAATTTCTGATGTCACTTTGGACGACACTTTGAGTGTTGAAAGCAGTATCATTTAATGCAGTTTAACTCTTGGGATATGCAATGCAGTTATAAATAATTCATTCCAGAGTCACTTCATGATCCATATTAACTTCATGAGGTGCGCACATTTT